TGTTTGCTAATTCGTCGATTAATATCGGGTATTACAGCCAATAAATCCGCACGATATCTTTATCTGAATCTTCGTTTATCTATTGATCGTATTACGAATTACTTCATGCGAGACATCTATTCCTTAACCACTGCCAATTCGAGCAACGAATTAGCTCGTTTTCTTCTATTAATAGATCGATACACCGGTCTTCGTATTTCCGTTTTTTCCTCCAAAAGATTATAACCTTTCTCGACGTTGTTGGGACTTTTTAACGTTAAAAAAATATCCGAAATCTCGACAAATCTCGTTTCAATCTAGGCGTTGAATATTTTCTTAGAAAATGGAAAGAACGTAAAAAAATCGTTAGCGATTCTTCGAGAATTCTCGATCCTTTTCTTTCTTTCGATCTTACGTTAAAAATTTCCTCGAAGGAGAAAAGAGCTTTTTCGTCCGCCAAAACTAGAGCGAAAAATAAAGCGACCGAGACGCGAGGATTCCAAGATCTCCAAGAACTTGGAAGGTCGCCCGAGAAGGATCGGAACGCGACAAAATGGAAAGTATCGGAAAAGAGAAATGGCGAGGCCAGACATCAAACGAATCTCCACCGAGCAACACCCTCGAAATCAGCGACAGTTCGCACCCTACAATCGTTAATTCGTCGTCAAAGTATCGCGGGGACAGGCGCCAGGGTATCCATTAAGAGCAGTGAAAGCGGCTGGTTGTATCGTTCCCCGTCGTGTTTCCCTTATCCACCTGTTCGCAGCATTGTTTCTGACGCATTACGCGGCACTTTATTCCTGTGGGAAATCGCGTTACCGAGCGCTTCTCCTCTTCTGCGGAGACAATACGTGAGAAGATGTAGATCGATGCGTTCGCTGCACCGGGATCGATCCCGACAGCGTTCTCACGGGACAGTCTGTACATATGCGCGTTTCCGCTCGAGGAAGCGACTTCCGTCGAATTCCATCGGCCATTCGTCCTGTACCGGGTGTCCCATTATTCGCGTTTTAACGTTTGAATCGGTGGTTCTTAACACCGTTTATCGTATAAGGTATGGAACAGTCGAGATTCCGTTCCATTGGTTTGGATACAGCAGCGTAAAGATAGGGTACACAGGGTGAAACACGTAAATTGTTACAATCCGTACTCTCCGAAATCGTTATAGAAACGGACGTGAAATTTGGTCGCATTGAATGATTCAGGGGGCTAACGATAAATTTAAGCAAGCAAGTGCCAATTTTTCGAAATAGAAGTTACAGCGATGAACAATTTTTGAGAGCAATTTTTGGTTTTTTCTCACTCGCTCGTTAACGTCTATATTCCAAAGAAAGTACGAGCGACGAAAGAACGAGAAGAAAATAGATCGCAACGTTCCTTGGTACTTCAAAGTATATCATATAGCGATAAATCAAATTTTTAGATATCGTTGTAATCGAACGATCCGATGGTATTTTCCCCTCGTTTTTATCAACGAGTGTTTGTCTGTCTTTTGCACTGAAATAAATACAAACGAACGTAAAATGAACGCAATACGTACGGGTGCCTTTAAACGATATTTAATACTAAGAATCGCGCTGACATTCTCTCCATTCGATAATTCATACAGCTTAAATTCAACTCCACCTAAAAGGTCTTATCTCGATCGCGATAGTAAATCGAATCATCGGACAGTGAATCCTTTATCGTGGAAGAAAGTTCGTCGGAAGCATAGCACAAGACGGCATTTTCCATCTGGCATAGCGCCAAATCAGTATGTAATTTACCGTCTCCGTTTTGCTTACTTCCGTGGCGGTCACAATGCGTTCTCAGACTGCACGGGAAACTGGGTCAAGAATAGGTTGAAGGGAAAATACCACGAATCCCGACAACTTTCGGTATTTGCTCGCCGTTTGAATTATCGATTGCATATTCAGGTAATTTCATTGGGACAATTGTAAGTAGCAAGAGATCGAGACGAATCGAAGATAATAATTATCCTCGAACGAAAGTTAATAAGCAGATCGATTTCTTTTTTAATTAATGTATAGATAAGTAAGAGATTGAAACGACAAGGGTGTATAAAAAACGGGTAATACTTAACAATTTGACCGATATCTTCGAGCTTTTTCAAGCTTCAATACGTTGGAAAAGATTATTTGAAATGATAAAGTATCGTTTAAAAAAGCGTCGCGAACGATATAATTTTATGTAACGATATAAAACAAAACCTAAGCTAAAGCCAACTGTTATTTCCAACTATTATTACGATCGTAGACCTTAAATAAACGATACTTACGATTGTTTGCGACATTTTTTAAAACGATATTTTGTCTTTTCAAGTAGCCCTTTTCAACGTATCGAAGTTTCAAGCAAACCGATCAAATTATAAAGCATCGCCAAAAGTTTACTCGTGCAACATCCAGTACCGAATCGAAACACGTGTAAAACGATCAATGAGAATAAGTTTATCGATGTATCGATTAAAAGGTCTTCCCACGTCCATTACGTGTTTTTCGGCTGTTACTACTTCCTTTCTTAAATAAGAAAGAAGGTTTCTCGGATTATTTTTTGAGAATATTTTTTGAGAATAAACGATCGATGAGGTTTTTCTTTGTGAATCACGAATATCATCGTCCCATAACTTCGTAAAGCGCTAATCATCTATCGTATTATTTTCTTCAAGTTCGTAAATAACTTCTCTCGTCACTGGCTCTCGTAAATCTCGTTTTTTCCTCCTCTTCCTACGTAACTATTCGCGCCCGTAACGTGGTAATTACTGGATGTTAGTCGCGTGTTATTAGAATCAATATTTTTGTTCCGTCAGACAGTCGCGGCGCGATAGAAAGACACTCTGTAATCTCCTGTTACGCTTAAAACGACACTGGACTTATATAACGAAAAGAAATCGTTGACGGGAAAGATCGGAACGTCGTCGCTTTAAATTAATTCGAAAAGATCGCAAATGGGAAATCGCAGAAATGCCCGATGATTTAAACGATGTAAATTAGTAAATACACCGCGTGTAAATTCATACCGAGTTCTAATGATCGAAAGCCATCAATCACGTGACGTAACAAGTAGCGTACTATTAAATTGCCATTAAGTACTCCGTTCGTGGCAATTATCAGCTTCTGTTTCTGCCAACAAGAAGAAGAATGATGTACGTATCGTCGATCTTAATTTCTTTTCTCGTAGCCACGCGTAACGAGTTCGTTAATCAGGTGTTAAAGTTTGTTTCCTCGACAAAAAGTGACATTGCAAACCTTGCGCTTTTCGATCGTAAGTTTTCGCCAAGTTCCAAAACTAGTACGCGACGAATGGAAAACTTTTCCAATGCTCGATCGATACAAGCTCGAAATCAAGCGAATGTTCAGCGAATTAAGGCGTCTGTCCCGCTTCCTACCTCCTTTGTATTCCTGTTTGAGAAACTCTTATTGCCGATGGTTTGAGACGACTCTCGTCAGATGCATTCTTTAGTTGCACGACGTTTCTTTTCTTCGGTGTGACTTTAATTGAAGAAATCGAGCCATCCTTTCTTCGTTGCGTATTAAAATTCCCTTCCGTGCTCGTGATTCGCGATAGTTTAGCTTCAACGACTCTTTAAACGCATCGTATACTTACTTTTCTCTTTGTCGTACTCTTCGTATCTCCTTAACGTCGCGCAACGTATCTGCTAACGAAATACGGATGGAAAGGAACAAAAGCACGCGGTAGTACGAAAATGTCCGTCACTTAGTCGAAAATAACTCTGCAAGTGCGAGCGCACCATCTATCACTTTAACATGCTCACTTAAAGCTTCATCGTGTACGCATCGCACGTGCTAATCAAGCGAGCTTAATTTAACCCGTAATCCATAACCGATTACGATCCGCGTAATAAGGCTGTCGTAATTAATATAGTCAAGTATCTCGAGGAATGTCTATTTCGTGTTATTTTTCGTCCACGTTACACCCGATACCGACGTTCATTTGCTTCCGAATCGAAACTTTTATTAACACATTTACCGGCCAACGTATTTTTTAAGCTGATGTTCCATTCGCGATAATTGAATTCTACGATAAAACGAACAACGTAACGCGTAACTGAATTTACGGTATTGAGCTTTACAAAATAGAATATGTAACGTAGTTCGAACACTTTGGTTGGCGCATATTGCTGCAATTTCGTGAAAATGCGCGGAATTAAATATCGCGCAACGCAAAAGTGACAGCAGCAATTTGTATCTTTAAAATTTGATCTCGTTTATCTATTACAGCACTATCGTGTTTTAGCGCTGTGCATATCGTTAATTTGCAATTGCGTATACCTACGTAGAGCTGGTCCGAGTAAGAATAAGGCTAACGCTAAAACGGATTAAAGTATCTTTCAATTCGACCAAATCCTATCGTTTACCGTAGGATCGTGGAAATACGCGCGATCGAATTTTCTAATGCACGAAGCGATCACCGGAATGAACCGAGAATTCTTAACAAACGTTACCGTTAAGATAATATCCTTCCGGTTGCGTATTCGTTTATGGATCCGACTCTCTCGATTTCTAGGTAATTTAGAACTTTTTAAAACGTTCCAAAATCGTAAAAAACCTATCGAATATTTCGTCGACAAAATTCCGCCGACAAACTTTTTATCGACAACGCGGATAATCTACTGATCGACGATCCTGCTTGTTGCCAAAATCCAGGAACCGATCTTCCAACATCCACCGTAAGAATCATCGACGAAAACCGAATTCGCTCGGATGTAGCGAGAGAACCGAGGCGAAATCGGTCGTTAAATTGGCGAGGGAACAGGAGACGAAGAAAAGGTGGTATTACCGTCTCCTATTAATTCGACGATTAGCTGTCGCGAGGGCGGCAGTCAAACGAGAGAGAGTAGACTAATTCCAGGTTATCCTCGTCCATTCTTCGTCCCAACTCGACTTCTTCTTCCGTTCTCGTACACTCTGCTCCCTTGTTCTTCCGTCTCTTCGTTCTCTCCGGCCTTTCCACGATCAGGTTAATTAACTCGATTATCGTTTTCTTTCTTTCTTCTGTTACAGGTGCGCACCTTGTTCGTGAGCGGCTTGCCGATGGACGCCAAGCCGAGGGAGCTATATCTGCTCTTCAGAGCATACGAGGTGAGTCTTGATTATTTTGCAAGTTAACCTCACCGGCCACCGTACGACTGGGGTACGACCTAACGTTAAGGCTGATCTAACGTTTTTCGAACTGGCATTACTTTTTTACCAATGCTCCTCGGAGCATACGACGCGAGTCTCGATTATTTTGCGAGTTAACTCGACTTGCGACCCGTAATTGGGCCATGACCCGACGTTCGAGCTAATCTAACGTTTTTCAAAGTAATCCTACGTTTTTACTGATGCTCCTCGGGGCGTATCGAACGAGTCTTGATTATTTTACAAATTAACCTAATCGGTGAAAGTATACGAAGTACTAGTCTTTTACTAACGCTCTTCGGAGCATACGGGGTGAGTTTTTTGATTATTTTACGAGTTAAATTAACTGGCCGCTGTGCGATCGAGGTATCACCTCGTACTAAAATTAACCTAACGCTTGCGAAACTGATATTGATTTTTCACCAAACGCGTCTATTTTCAGTATCGTTTTTCTCTTCCTTCTTTTTTCTCTTTCTTCTTTCTTTTTTGTTATATACTATGGTCTTTCGTTCTAACGAAGGTTCTGTTCCACTCAAACGTGGACTTTAAAATATAAAAGCGATTCAACGTTACTATAATAATTCTTCGGTATACTACCTATGCTATATGGTTCGAACACGCGTTTATCGTTGTGCGACTCAAGTTAAAGAAACGATTTACCTTTAGTCGTAATCTGAGAAAATTTTGCTTTGAGAAAAAAGAGCGGAGTGTTCCTGTCGAGTTGTTCCGTCGAGTTTATAAATCTTTTATATCGTTTATCGGAATTAACGCGAATAGGTATTACGCACTTTATGACGAGAAAAGATATCGATGGAATCGCTTGAAACACGACGAGTAATCTACTTTGCTTAAATCCAAGTGTCGAAGCACGAGAAGCGTGTTACGTTCTAAAGTTCCAAAATCACCCTGATCGACGATTGCGTTCCATCGTTCGTTGTTCAATTCGTTTCGACTTTCACCGATCGATGATAATCTCAAACGTGTATGCGATAAAATCGTAAAATTTAGAAAATTACGAAATCATAAAATCTGGAGAATTAGAAAATCACAAGGTCGTAAAATTTAGAAAATCAGAAAATTACGAGATCGTAAGATCTAGAAAATTACAAAATTACAAAATTACAAAATCGAATTTAGAAAATTACGAAACCGTAAAAGTTATTCTCGCGCGAATTTTGCGCTAACGATATAAAGGGAAAAAATGTCTATTCGAGGATTTTTCAAAGTTCGAGATATATAGCTGGAGAAGTAACGACGTTGACCGTGGTTTTTACCCAGAAATCGGAGTAGATATCGCGCCGGAGAATCCGTACGAATCGTTAAAGAGACGCGATAAGGGTCGAAGAACGGAGTACATTTCACCTAACTTTCCCTCTTCCAATCGTGAGTTTTCAGATAAACGGGTTATTCGGCATTCGATTACGTGATTTCATCATCTCCTTCGTCGTAACACTCTGCAACTTACTTCTCTAGGGAGAGGCAGGTGATTCGACTTGCCTAAGCTTAAACTCGATCGAAATTTGTCGCAGGTGTCGGTTAATCGACTTTGGGTCGACTTAAGTAAACGCCGACTAATAGATTCGCGTACTTACATGTAAGTACGCTTTCTCTGCCTTTCTTTCCTCGTAGTCTACTGTTTTTTGTACGTGTTCTTTCCAATTTGTCATTTCACTGATAAATAAATAACGATAGTCGTACGTGTACCGCAAAATCGTAAGATCGATTCATTCATCTCGCTGATTCGTTCATCTGTCGTAATTTATTAATCTTTAGATTATTGAACTTTCGTACAAATTACTTGACACTTTGAATTTTAAAAAGGGATACGGAATGTTTCTTATTTTATTTCTTTATTTACTTATTTCTCAATTTTTAAATAATTATCTAATTATTCTAACTAATAGCTGTCGTTTTACTTTCTCGGTTATGTATCTACTTTTTGATTAATTTATCGTTGACCTGTTAAAGGAAGCAGTAGCTCCGCTTGTTTAAAGTAAGTAAAGTAAATGATCATATCTTGCTCGAAAAAAAATCTCGTATTTCTAATTAGTTAGGATATATACGCAATAGAGCTAATTTAAAACCAAGTACGTATAAATGTAATCGGCAGCGTAAAGAAGCGTAAGCTCTGCGCGAAAATTCTGTTACGCGTTAGTTCGGTCGAAGAGTATTGGACGATACTTGGGTGAAATAGCATCATCGTTCATATAAACCAACTTTAACTCATTTGAGAGAGAGTGAGAGAGATAGAGAGAGATTATAAAACGAATTGTGCTATCGTGCATTAAATTTAAGAGACAATTTGAAAATGTAAACGATCTTTTAATCGAATCGTATCTTGCAGTTGCGTTAAAAATTATCGCTGGGATTTCCTCTATATCGCTATCAAAGTAATTCAGTTTTGTTCGGTATGAAAGATTAATTTGCCTCAAACGAGTAGTATTGGATAATATCGATTCAATGGCACTTGCAGAACTATCCCTTAAATGAGAGCTACTTGTACGAGAGCCGAACATATTTCGTATAATTTTATACGCGAAAGTTAATTGTTTTTATGGACGAGATGAATTTGACGGTTCAAAGATCCTTTTTTAATCGGACGTCAATTATTTCGTACGTTATTTTACTTAATTTTAGAACGTTGATTTCTGATGTAAATTATAGTTTCTTACATTCGACAATTTGTTGTTCTAAACATCTTTCGTATTCGCTCTTCATGTCGAATCAGACTCATCGAAAAGAAATTCATCGATGATTTTAATTATCCTATCGACAGGACAATCTGCGACAAATTCAAAATCCATTTGAATTTTAAATTACCTTGAAATTCCATATCCAGTTCGTTCTTTGTCTACGAGACCTTTCGATTCTTGTAATTACGCAAAGTATTTAAAAGAAAAAGGTCACCCCTACCAAAGCCTGAGAAGAAATACCTTACTTAATACCGAGTGATATAAAATATAGTAGGGGAAATACATTATCGTTAAAACGAACAAAATGAATTTTTCTACCCGCCTCAATCTCAAAGAAAATCTCAAATAAATCGATTCTGTGTTAGCAAATATTTCAAATTTAACATATTCGAAATGCGATAACCCGGCGGCAAATTTTCATGCAAATTTCTGTTTTTATGCGTAGAACTCGGACGGAGATTGTAACAAGTACTTTACTTTAGATATTTCTCATATTTTTATACTTCATGCGCGTTCGATGCAATTTTACATCTCTAAATTAAATATGATAAATACATAAAAATTCACAGTGCGATAATAACATTTTCAGTATCTCGTGAAAAGGAAATTACGTCTGGCGTAATATCTTTTCCGAAACGTTGAAAGTCAACACCGCGGATCGAAAGGGCACGATGGATTTGCGAGTAAAATCTTGGAACAGAGGGGGAGAGCGATTCTATCGCCGATTCTCTCTTTTTTTTATCGTTAAAATTGTCACGGCCATTGGGATATTCTTGTCTGTGGCTGACACGCCGTTATCCTCCTCCACTGTCACAGAATTCTGCCTGCACGCTCTGACAGCCGACAGCAGCCATCCACATTTTCATTGTCCTATTTTGACCGTTATCGTTGGCTTTCTCTCTATCGATCGAATTAATCCAGCCTAATTTAGCTGCAATTTATTAATATTTGATTAATAACGGAAACATCGAGGGATCGATAGTACGAGTACAAGTGAAATACGATGACAATGACGATGATATATTTGGTTTATCCCGACCGATGTTTGCGATATTTTCCAGGATTGCGGATAGAAATTAAATATCGCGTATGACACGTGGCTTGTTCCGACCAATATTCGACTAATATTTGATGTTTTAATATGGTACCGTCGTAATAGTGTTGATTGCGAATAATTGATGTTTCGATAGAGACTAAAGATAACAGTATACGCGTATGAAAATGAAATGTTCGTTTCACGATAATACTTCGATTACGTCGATTAATCACGGGTTAATATATAATATTTTATAGGATATACGTTAAAGAGGAGTTCGTGATAATACGTAGTGTTATTTAATTTGTTGGAATATTCGATGCTATAGAAAATTAGGGATGATATTGTACGTTAAATTTAGATATAACGACGATGATACGTTAATTACGTCTATTAGCGTTGAATTAATGTTTAATATTTCGTATCATAGGCATAAAAGAGGAATTTCAGATAAAGCGTAGAGATAAAGTGTAATAATACTTAATTAGGAATATTCGATTCTCTAGGAAATTAGATATAATACTGTCGGTATATGGAACTTAAATACAATAACGACGTTTCAATTACGTTCGGTCATATTAAATTAATAAGAACGATCGATATCAAGCGTTAAAAACCGTTTGCCGTACGCATACATTACAAATCTGGGATTTGAAATACGATGGACAAGGAGGTAATTATCGATTAGAGCGGTTCGAGAAATAATTTCCTCGAATGTGATGGAAGCGTTTTTAAAGGTATCGTAATTTATCTAAATTATACGTTAGATAAAAATTATAGTTCCTTTGGTATTTGCTTGATCGAAGCGATACGATCGTATAACTGCGGCAGTGATAAGGGAACGAAAAACGAACAACGAGAATGACAAAAGGGAGAAGTATAATATTTGATCGCAACGCTGATCGGACGTTTGCCATTTGATTAAATTAACTAATTAAATCGCGAGCGTGTTAACTGAACGTGAATTAATTAATCTGCTCGTAGATTGGCAATAGCGAAAATTAAAAATGAGCGACGTTTATCTTGCATATTGCGTCCGATTTAAATAATAATGGCTACGAGCAATTCAAGTAATATTACGTTATATCGAATAACCTACTTATAGACTCGTATAACGTACGATACAGGAAACACGATCGATATACGACAGTCCGTAATATCGATATTGTTTCTTTTTTAAATTAATCGAGAAACCTTTCAGCTCTCTGGATCTACGTTTTACATAATTCATT